CTTGAAATAGTGGAATAGAGTAGTGTTCCATAAACTATACCTATTATAGTTTATATACGTGTTTCTGTATAGTGTTCTTGTACTTGTAAAATAGTGTAGTGTTTCCCAAACTATACCTATTATAGTTTAAATGTATGTTATGTAATGAATGAAAACCTTTGCAATTTATCAGTGTGTATAAAACAGATTTAAAAGATTTGTATAACGTTCCCCTTTGCTCGGCATGTTACAAAAGGGTTAAAATATATAATAAATATATTTTGATATTTGCAGTGATAAATCGGTTTGAAACAATTGCAAATAGTTTGTAACGGTTTGGAATCTTTTGAATGATAACCCAAGAGTCCTTGTGTTTAACTTGTATCCCCCCCTAAAAACATTGAAAATAGTGAAAACGTATGGGTATGAACTCATCTCTAGTGCATGTTCGCGTTCGGATAGCAAAACTGTAGAGACGATCCCCGTGATAGCGTACGTGAGAATAGCGTTATCCTAAAAATAATTATATCCGACGTCGTATTTAAATTAATAAGATATTAATTTATATAGTAGATTGAATAATGGTTTAAATAATAATTAAAGTGTTAGACAACACTTTAATTATGTAAGGAATACTTACAAAAATTATTTGGGGAGTCCTTGACGTTTTCGATGTGCAAGAGGGGTTTTCGTGAGCTTGGGAGGGTTCTCGGTGTGTTCTTAGTGTTCTTGGTGAAACTATGAAGATTTGAAGATGAGATGAATGTTCTTGAGGATCTTATGAAGATTTGAAGGGTTTTGGTTGAAGATTTGAAGATTTCGTATGATAGTTGAGAGGATTCTGACAACTTTTGAGAGCAAAATGGAAGTGTTTACGGTTGAGAAATTGAGAAATGAATTGGGTTCACGGCTAAACACCTATATATACATGGGGTTTTCGGCCTTAATGGGCCTTAAACTTTATGTTTTCGGTCCTACATGACCGAAATCTCTCTTGATTTCGGTCTTAAGGTCAAATGAAGAAGTGGTTCACGGTTTTGAGTCAAAGGGAAAGGAGTTTGCGGCCAAGGCATTTGAAAAGAAAGAGTTTCCGGTCAAAGTCAAACCGAAAACTCCATTTTGAATTGATTTCCAACCGTGAACCTATTTGTTCTAGATTATTGGACCGAAATCTCCATATTTGAATTCCTTAAAACCGTAAACCCTTATATAGGGTGTTTATTTACGGATTAAAGCTTAAACTTTTGACTTATAATGACTTACATTAGCTTATATTAACTTAGGATTCAAGCTACGTTTAGTAATTGGCTTATAAACATACCTCCAAGGCTGTAGATGATGTCATGCAACTAGGATTGAAATGTGACTTCACTTTTATTGACTTGAAAAATAAAGGGTTGTTACAATAGGCCTCGAAAGATACGGAGTGAGACGAAGTTACTGTTTCGTCAACCAGGGAAGGCTTCTCGCGCTGAAAAGCACCTCCAGGCGAACTCGGCGCACCCCCAGACATAGATCCGAAACCAAGATTAACCAAGGGTGAACCAGAAAATGGTGTAGGTGACGCCTCCGGAGAACTAGGCACCACTACTATCTCTTTCTGCTCAGGCACAGAAAACCGATCTCCAAGGATACCCCCGATATCGCCAAGAAGCCTGGCCACAGATACAGTCTTACGCGCTTTACGAGGATGAAGACCCGCATCATTGGATTCTGTCTCAACATTTGACGACAGCACCACGCACAAACTTTGCCTTTTCCGAATAGGAGCATTGCCTTTTCCTGCTTCTACCCTCACAGGCAAACCAGAAGGAGCAGGAACTGGCGAACGAACTGGGGAAACAACCCCAACACTGGCCGGGAAGGCGAAGCAGGCCCGTTAGAACCAGCATTTCCCCCTTCCACCAAGGGCAATCCAGCAAACTCTCGCATGCGACTTTTGAGACACGTGAAGGGGAAGAGCCTCCACAAGATCATCTCCCGGTGATAGATCCTACCTCGATAATGACCGCGCAGGGCCATCTCCAAAGAAATCTCGGCTTCAGCATCTGCGCAAATAAAAGTTGAATATAAGGACTCATAAGATACCCTGTTCCTACCCCCTTTTCTCCTTTTTCAAAAAAAAAGGGGGGGAGAAGCAGACGAGTGGATACCGCATATCACAAAGTACAATTGCGCCATCTTCCCACGAGCTCGCCAGGCGGCACTCATACCAGCCGCAACAAGAACAAAATCTTCCCAGTTCTCCCCAACAACAGTGATATTTCCTAGTCGTTTGCCGACAGTTAGGTTGCTCCCGAACATTTGGGAAGGCGGTCAGTAAAGTCTCGTGTTTTGTGAAACCCACGCCCCACAAGTCTCCGGTTAACCCAGAGCCATTGCCTCTGCCAATTTTATTCGGGGCATCTTGTTCAAAGATTAACTGATGAATTCCCCGCCTTTTCGCCAAAGTACGAACACCAGAACTCGTAGTTGAACAAAACAAGTAACTGAAGACCCAGAAGGTGGGTATACAACCCAAAGATCGACAAATCAGTTCAAAACCGACAATTTTATTGACAACACTCGGGGTCAACTCGTCGGATGTCAGCAAGCGTAACCCCGCTTCGAATAGAGGGATCGAAACTCCCACCTTCTCTTGAGGGCAATCGTAGATCGATACCCCCTTTGCCGGAATCATTACACCATGCTCCGGCAAGAAGCCGAAACGGTCTTACAGAAATTGGAACTCCTCAGCAGTAGGGACTTTACCGTAACAGTCCATTATCGAGAAAAAATAAGCGATCGAAAAGAAAAATTCTCGAAATGCCTAGATAGATACAACGAAAGTGAAGAAATAAGGTAAGGATGAAAGGTCTTGGGAAAGGGGGGTTTTAAAGAAAAAACTAGCGTTACGAACCGTCTCACGATGGATCTGACACACATTAACGGCGCTGCCTAAGGCCTGTCAAATGATAGAACTAATCCCAGGCATACACGTGTTGAAATATAGGCTCGAACGGCGACGTTGTCAAGCCGACGCATACACCTACAAAACGTATCCCTCAGGGGAACGTCAAAAAAGAAGTCAAACTAACACCGAGCTTGGCCTGGTCAGAACCTAGTCTAAAGCCAAGTCCGGGCCTTCGCGAACGCGAAGAGCGCTGATATGGCGGTTAAGGTGCAGAGCCGCGCCTTAACCCCTTCTCCAGGAAATTATATCCCGGCAGACGTGGGACCAATCAGAGAGTCCCACTCGCCCATAAGACGATATCCACGATCTTCGTAAACGTTTAGAAGATCTCCTTCTAGCCAATGAGGGAATGAGGCAAAAGACGTGACGGAGGACCCTCCAATCTTGGTCCGCCACGTCGCGCCTCACGCGGGAATCCTCAACTGAATCAGCTGAGGGACACGCCTCTTGAACATGTATAAAAGGATCCTTCTTCATCACGAAGAAGGGGACAAAATTCTCTCTTTCCTATAAATCTTCTATAATCTCTCTCAAATCTCATACTGACTTGATCGTCGGTGCTTCGTCCTGGGATCTCCTCCCGGACGTCGACTAACGGACATCTCTCTCTCTCTCTCTCACTCTCTATCTATCTATCTATCTATCTATCTATCTCTCTCTCTCTCTCTCTCTCTCTCTCTCTCTCTCTCTCTCTTTTCCATTGTGATAACATGAGAAGATATCTGCACGAACCTCCCCTACAGTTCCAACTCAATCCTCTCTAACATATCACAACAAGTTTTAAGAGCATTATATAAGTTATTTTGTTACCTTAATCAATAGTTATTATCACGTTAAAGCACAAAATCAGAACGTTACTTTAGCGTTACTTCAATAGAATTCTTTTGTAAATTAAAAGAACTATGTAACTAATTTATTTACTAAACGTCAAAATTACCCAATGTCTTTGTTTATTTTTAAATCTTACAATTGAAAATTAAAAGAAATTGGTATATACCATTATCAGTTTGTACGAACCAAACTTATTGGTAGCCAAATATATGAGTACCAACTACCAAGTATAGTTGGTATGATAGCGGTAACAAATTTTTTATACAAATTCTAGTTGGTACGGTACACGGTTTAGGTAAAAACAAATTGGTACCATACTAATTCCAACCCTAGGTAAAACCATATCTAATACACTTGTATGCAAAGAAAGAAATGAGTTTTCTATAATTAAAAATGCTAAATGTTGAAATTGGAAACGTTTTGGGTCATGATATATATGACTGGGTGCAAATCGTATTTAACGAACTTGATCAATAGTATTGATTTGAATGAAGTAGAAAAATGAATATAATGTCTTTAAACATATGTGGTCTCGGAAACAATAGGAGAAGGAGTTGGATCAAGAATATATGACATGTGACTATTTTGTGATGGTGACTCTGTGAGTGCTATGACATTGATCCGTAATTCCAATGGCCGGGTTAGGTTCCTTGAAATTTAGAAGGGACATCTCTTTTGATGTGGTTGTTGATTGTTCCCTTTAATTACTTTTGTCATAGGCTTCGCTTCTAAAGTTAACCGAGTGTCTTTTAAAAAATAAAAGCCAAGTGAGTGTCTTGGTTACAAAACTAAGCTATAACTCTTTTCTTTATAATTACCCTTCATGTTTGCTAGTGCTAGTTTTAATAATATTTAGCCGCACTCACGAAAGTGATGAGCAATCCTACAAAATATTACTCCTAGGTTGTGACCACACCCTATTTAAAAAACATCAATTTCTATTGGATAATTTGAAAAATAGTTAAAGGGTTTATTAATCAACATCGAACCAATCAAACCTGCCGTGGGAACATAGACATGAGATATATGAATATACTAATATAATCGAATACATGCAAAGCATCATTCATCCTAGTATGGAATCACTGTCCATGGATCAAGACGAACCTTACATAAATGCTACAAAATGTTTACAATTCTTCCTTTAAAAAAAAAATATACACACACATCATATATATATATATATATATATATATATATATATATATATATATATATATATAATTTACAAGCTCAATCGGCCACATTTAGTCTGGTATTTTCTTGACTATAAAAATTTTAAAATTGTTGAGACTTGATCAAACCTATGTGAAATGCAAAGGTTTTGATATTCTATCTTAAGACTTTAACTTGGGTAGAAAATATCGCCTTCACTGGCCGATGATCAGACAATTTGGATTCGTCTCTAGCATATAGTATCTGCTTTAGTTCATCCCCAGTCCATATTATCCTGTCACACCTGCCATATATTCATAATCTGTTTATAGTATTTGAAATTATACAAACCAAAGAAGCGGATGTTATTAATGAATGATATAAAAGGATTTAATTAATTACCATGCAGGAGCACGTTTTGTTTCATCATTCTTGCCAAAATATTCATCAGAATTGGGAAGATATTTATAAGTAGGAGCAAAATCGATTGTTCCTTCGTGCCATGCTCTAAATTGACCATCCATGAGTTCCATTCGTAGCTTCAAAATTTCAGTTCCCATAAATACGAATTTAATTTGAAAGACTTAAGTTTTTGTATTGAAAAACAATAAAGGTTGTTTTTTTATTACCTGATCATGTTCAAGAAGCCTATTCCAAGCCTTTTTATTCACCAATGACCTTGTTTCTTTTTCTAGTAACGAAATCCGGTAATTCAAGTCTCCAAGCAAAACCACCCGACTACCATCATCCAAGCATATATGTTAATATTCTATATATTTATACTTTTCTTGTAGAAAAATGCAGCTTTTGTTATGCTTTTGATTTAACAAGTGGTTTAGTATATCGTTTTACCTGAAATATCCAACAGAATGAAAAGTTTGTAGGAAAATAAAGACGTTAAGGTAATAGTCTATGATCTGAGAAGCTGATCAAAGGTAACCGACCAAATCCGGAAAAGATGATAAATTTTTTAAAAGATGGACACCTAATGACTTTGACTTTGTCTTTGATCCAAGAATTTGTTTAATTTTAAGCGACAAATAAAGAAAATATTTATGAGTTAAATTTAATAACAGCAATTAATAATAATATTATTGAAATAATAATAAGGATTGTTTTCGTAGATATTTTACAAGTAGAGCTACTATATATATACATATCTTAATCAAGACCCCAATAATTTTAATTAATTATAAGACCGGCATTTTATTTGATTAATCTATATAAACATTAAGCTACGATGATTGGTTAATTTCTTTAATATTTTATTACCCATACAACAACTTGATCATAAAAGTAATATTTTATTATCTTATATACCTACTTAAATCCATATGTAAATTTAGTATCGTGAAATAAATCAAATCAAAACGTACGTACTCATGATCTAGTATTCTTTTGGGCCCTTTAGTTGTCGGGAAACTTGTACGTGAAAATATTTCAGTGGCATCGGTATTTCTATTTCGTTCATCGCCTTCTCCACCTCCGGATGCAAGATGGCTACATACGAAACAAAAGCTTGTCTGGTGTAATTGAAAACGAACCGACACTGAACCCTACAATGTAAGAAACCCTAATCTTTTTAGAACTTATAAACAATATAAGAAATAAAAGAAAGTTTTTGATCAAAATGATACCTTGTTTCCTAAGCAGCCCATGATGCCACAGCCTATGCATGATACGTTGCTGTTTTGAAAAAGTGGATAAAGATCCGTACGAACCCAAACCGATATTAGCAAACCGACCATTCGTTTGCTTATGAGACATCGGAAATCGTCTTGCAAATCGCTGCTCTCACTATTTGATTTGGTAGCCTTCAAGCCCAAGTCGTTTGTTCTTGATTTCTTGTTTAGGGTTCTTTCGATCAAAGAATTCCACTTGGTTGAAACGTTTTTCTTCTCCAACCCAAGAACATTAGAGGCTTTTAGAGGAACCACTTCTTGAAACCTTAAAATGATTACACGCATCCAATCGTTAACGTATGTTCGTTACAGATTCCAATGGAACTTGAATAATAATTACGACATTTTTTTCTTTTTTATTGAGAACAAATAATCACCCAAGAACATATATATGACAGCAAGTGTTGTTTGTGTCCAAAAGATGGTCGATATTCAAGTCTTCCGTGGGAGTTACACCTCCAACATTCCACGTACTAACGAAAATACTTCAGATGAAAGGAAAAAAAGAAAGAACGATAGCATTAATATAATTGCCTGATCATTAGTTCCTAATTAAAAGAAATGATATATATTAATGGAATTAAATGGGTTTAATTATACTTATAGTTTTGTGTCGTTTGGTTCACGGGCAAGATGACCGGTGCCACCGGATCATGATCCGATGTTGGAAGATGAAGGCAAGATTCTGGGCTTCTGGGGAAGTCGGCCACAAAGTTGCTGGTAGCCAACTTTTTGCTTATTATCTTACTTGCTACCAATCTTGGCCACATAACCTTCAATACAACAAAATATTGTTAGCATCAAACAAAATTGTTCATGTGATTGTGTGTGTGTGTGTGTGTGTGTGTGTGTGAGAGAGAGAGAGAGAGAGAGAGAGAGAGAGAGAGAGAGAGAGAGAGAGAGAGAGAGAGACTTGTTCCCGCATGGCGATTGGAAATGGGAAGACGTTGGAGAGAGAATAGGGGAGGTGAAGATTAAATGAGAGAGGGGGAGGACAAGTTGTAATTAAAAAAACATGAACATGACATTAATTAACATTGATTCATCTGTACCACTCGACTTTGGTTCGACTTTGGTTTAATGTACACGCACTCCTTAACATCTGGGTCTTATTTTTGCTAAATTAACACTACATATGCATGGTTTTGTAACCGGCGGCTAATGGTTTATATTATGTCATGTCTCTCACTAACTTCTTATATAATGTTTTCTTTACATTAAATTTTATCTTTTGAAAGAAAAAATTCATGGCAAATGGAGAATATAAAAGTAGTAAGACAGTATATTTGTGAGATGACGAATACGAAAAAAGGTGGGACAGCCTGAGAGGTCTTTGGCGGACTCCGTCAGCTAATACGGTACTGGCGGTACCGCCCAAATGATGAATACGAGGAGACGGGGCTCACAACTTAGAATTTGACAATTCTAGTGAAGACCCCACTCCCGAAGGAAATGAACAAGGAAGTGAGGAGCATCAACCCGTTGTTGAGAACAAACGCGACTACATAAAGCACCTAAAGTCAAAGAAATGGTTGGAAAAGGAAGATGTGATTTTGGCTAGGGGATATGTCGATGTTTATAAAGATAAGCAACACGGATGTCAACAAAGGTTGGATGCATTGTGGGAGCAAGTTCCAGAACATTTTAATGCTCAACTGGGAGTTTCGGATCAGACACGACACCAAGTGAACTCAAAATGGAAAGACCTTCAAAAGAAATGTAAAGATTTCAACTGTATTTACAATTGTAAGTTGAACAGTCTGGCTAGTGGGATATCTATGTCGATGTTTTAAAAGATGCACAAAACGAGTATCAAAGGCTTAGTAATCAGAAAGCTTTTCCCTATGAAAAAACGTGGGATGGTTAAACACCACGCGGAATAGTTGCACGTAAAAAACGTCGATGAAGACTCCCCGCCCCCTTCTTTAAAACAAACCAAAACTGATGGGTTTTGATACAAAATATAAGAGAGTTTTTCCAAAAAAACGCAGCGAAAGTTTTAAAAATAACAATATTATTTTCGAGTTTATAACAAAACCAAACCATCAAGGATCCATTTATAATGATATTAAAACCAACCATATGTTGTTTTAGAACGACAACCTTTGTAGTATTTGAACTCACTTGGTTTTGGGGTGTTTATGAAGATAGAAAGATCAAAGAAGATGATCTTCTCTACAAGTATCCCCCATCAAGATTAAGTCAATTGGAATGCTAGTTCCCATCTTGTATGAAGTACTTCGTAAGCCTTTAAGTTCTTAACTCAAATAAGTACTAAAAGAGAAGTACTTCTAAGCACCAAATCTTCAATATACGTCAAAAGACAAGAAGAAGAGGGAGAGTATAGATAGTTTCGGCCATCATGTAGGAAGGAGCAAAAAACTAGCCAAAAACTCATGCAATACACTTCTTTAAATACCCCCATGCAAAGTAAAGTCTGCTGATTATTTAAACATAAAGTATTGGTTACTAAAGCAAGCATGGGGAACAAGAGGAGGGAAGTTGACAAGCAACCTCTCATGCCTCTATATTTTTGGTCATGGTCTTCAAAATAAGACAAAATTATTTTCTAATTAAACTAATTAGATAATGGTAACTAGTTAATGAGTATAAGGTTAGCCAAAGTGTCCAAAACTTTGTACACGACTTATTAAATCATATCATATTATATAATAACTAGTTATGCTCTCTTTAATTATTATTTTCATAAAAAGTAATAATTATTCCCTAATTAAATACAAGAGTTGATATTATTTATTAATAATCATATTAATAATAAATATACAAAATGTGTCAACTTGGTAAAGGTGTGACCCTATAGGATCAAATGTTATTATCAATATCACTCAATAATGATTATTGAACATATAAATCTGTGACATCCCCTAATTTCTCGGCCAGAAAAGACCGATTTAATTTATGCTTTTAAAATAAAATCAGAGTAATCCTTTTAAAAGATGTTGCGGAATTTGTTCCCAAAACAAAACATGATAAAAATTTATCAAAACCTTTCTTTAAGAAATATATATTTTCATTTTATATCAAAACCTCGGGATGTCTTGTTCCGATACAGATCAAAAACATAAACAATACATTATAAGCCTTACAACAGTTATTTACAACTACTAGCCTATAATCCAAAAATCTCTCATCATCATCCGACTATGCTCGGGGTCCACTACCTGTAATATAAAAAGCTGAGTGGGTCAGGCTTGGAAGCCTGGTGAGCATATAGGGTTTTCAACCCACAATAAATAAATTTATTATGCTTAAACATCAAACAATGAACCAAATTACCCAACCCCATTATCTTATTTATTTCTTAAGGATTTACCCTAAGAATCAACTATCACTCATTCTTAAGGATTCATCCTAAGGAATAGGCACGAAGTCACATCGTCGCCAGGGTTTATACAACAGACACTAAGTCCATAACTGCCAAGGTAACCAAAGGAATAGGCACGAAGTCACATCGTCGCCAGGGTTTATACAACATGCACTAAGTCCATAGCTGTCAGGGTTTATACAACATATGCTAAGTCTATAGCTCTTATTTATCGACATTATTATTCACGGGAATCCCCCTGCAATACATGTCAATGGGTTTTTAGAGTACAACTGATGAACATATAGTTCACACACCTACAGGTTGCGAGCCTGCTAGTGTTCCACATATCATCTAGAATAGTCCATGGTTGTCATCCATACTCCGTTGAATGACGGGGGCCAACGTTTGGGTAAGTGCTTCTCTCATATTTCACCACTCACCCTTATCTCATGATCTATATCACCGATCATCTCATTTATCCAACTCATCTTTCATCACATACCAACTATTTCATCTACCCATGTTTTACCCAACATTTTTGTAGATAAAAAAAATACATATACAGTTTAAATTATTTAAAAACCTGTATAAATCATTCATTTAACATCCATCTCAAATAAACAAACAATATATATTCACATAGCACGTATTTTATATAAAATACTTCATATCTATGTGTAAGATAAAAGTGACTATACACTCACATGATTTAACGATAATCGGGCAGCACTTCGTTTCCTAAAACAATCGTTTCTAATAAAACCGGGAGTTTTATTGAGAAACCGGGCTCTGCGAGGGTTGGGCTTCAAAACCGTAAAGATAAATTTCTCGGGATCTTCGGGCTCTTTGGGACGTGTTTCGGGTGTTTGGTATGATACTGGGGCTTTGGGGGAAGTGGAAATAGCTAAAATATGAAATTAGGGGTGAAAAATGGCAAATTTCCATAGTTACTCGGGAGGTCTCGCACCCTTCTATTTATAGGGGCGAGCCTCGGACCCGAAGCAAGGAGAAGGAGACACGCGTTGTCTTCGGATTGGTCCAGCGCTTCGGATGACTCACCTGCTTCGGACACGCGTCTGCTGACTCACCGAGATCGGACACGGAGAAGGCGCGGGGCGGCTTCTGATTGGCCGAGCCTTCGGTGCGAGGATGGTGCGACACGCCTCGCCAGCTGGCCTCGGATGACTCAGCAATTCGGACACGTGGCATGCTACGAGTGAGGGTGACGTGGCCTATTCCGGACCATGCGAAATTTCTCGGATTTCGTGTTTTTCTCGATTATTTAGCCAAAACTTCTAAAATTCATAACTTTCTTATACGGGCTCCGTTTTTGACGTTATTTATATGCACGCGTAGGTAAAATTACGCTCTACAACTTTTGTTTAGACTTCGTCGGCTAAATTAATTTTAATATTATTATTTTAAACAGACCGGGACAGGAAATCCGTTAAAAATTCATAACTTCTTCATCCGACGTCCGTTTTCGTCGGTCTTTTTACCGTTGTACTATTATTGACGAGACCTTCGATTCTCTTTTAGGTCGTGTCGGCTAAAAATCACTCGATCTAAAATTCGAGTTTTTAGATGTCTACTGCTAAGCTGAAACTTAGAAAAATCATAACTTCGTCATACGAAGTCAGATTTGGGCGTTCTTTTTATACATACTCTCGGTTTAACTAACACTACGACTTTCATTTAGATCACCAAGGCTAAAAAGTAGTTTATCAAAAACTCACTTTTTACGTCATTCGGCGCCGTGCCGGTTTTGTCGCGAAACTTCGATAGGTCATAACTTCTTCGTTATAACTCGGATTTCGGTATTCTTTATATATCCGAAATCCTTGTCACGACCACTACCACTTTCTTAATAGATATCAGCTTTATCTAATATTTATTTTCGACGCTCATTTTTATTCTTAATTAATTAAATCCTAATAATTAAGCATAAAACACATAATTCACATAATAATCACATAATTCCTCTTCATTTCTTCAAAATGAGTTACAAAGGTTGACCAAGACTATTTCATCATCATTAATGCCTATCCTAGAAACACGGGCGTTACAAGATCTAACAATCTCCCACTTGCACAAGATTCATTACAGACTGGCATAGACAGTAGCTAGCGTCTAGTAACGGGTTAGTGTCTCTAACAACACATGAAGGGTGTCATCTTATCAACAACCAATTACAGGAGCTCTAAGCTATAATTATTACTAAAGGTGCAGTATCAGTTATTCCATTGTCTCAGACATCATGTTGAACATAAGATATGGATCGCGATCACTTTTATTTAGTGTTCAACCTTTAGTAAGCCCTTAGATGTCTAACTCTCAAAGAATAAGAGGAACAAATCCCCTTTTGACTACATACGCCCATCATGTAGTTCATGTCATACCCAACGATGGCCCTTATGAATGCCTTTTACAGAACAACGTTAAACCATGTCAAAGTACTAAAATTTCTACACTTCAAGTCCCAAATATGCATCTCAAGTCGAAGAATACAAAGATACTACCTTTTATCAAACATCACTTAGCACTACGATCCACAAAGTGATATTGATGTGGGTTAGGTCCAATACTTATTCTCCTAATCAAGTACCTATGAAG